TGTCAAAAGCTATATGTTTATTTAATATTACTACTAATTCTAATAACTAATATGAAAATCTAAAAAATAATATTTAAAAATTAACTCGTATAAATATATATGTACTTATATAAATTTAAATATCTATGTTAAGAACTACATATTTACCAAAATATGTAAAAACAAATATGTGGTTTCACACCAACTAACTTCGAACGGGAACTAAGCTTTACAATAAAAAATGTATGAAGTTAATTTCAATTAACTTCGTACATTGCCGTGAATAATTTAACAACAGAATACAAATATAATTTCACAAAAAAAATATATAAAGAAATTAAATTGATATTTTAAATAAATACAAAACAAATAAAATACCTTCTTCAATATGTCCTGAACTGATTTGTAGCTGAGAAAATGGAGAGAACGGAGAGAGAGAGGGGCAGAAGCAGAGGCAAAACTGATTTTTCAGTTTGCCTCTGCAATGGCTGAAATGAATCTGTTAAAGGAGACGGCTTTGAGCGACGAAGACTTAATTCGTCGCGCAAATAAATTAGTCGCGCAAATTCCACTTCAGCGACGCGCAAAGTCGTGTCGACATCACATCTTTGCGCGACGAACACCATATTTCGTCGCACAAGGCAAATTCCGTCGCGCAAAATCGACTTGCGCGGCGCGCAAAGACGTGCCGACATCACACCTTTGCGCGACGCCAAAATCGTTTCGTCGCACATGATGTTAGTCGCGCAATAGAGAATTTCCGTCGCGCAAAAGTCCAGTTGGACACGCACGCAGCCACGATAGCCACCTTGCGCGACTAATTTGCTTTTCGTCGCGCTACGTTGTGGCGCGAAACACCTGGAACACTGTTTGTTTACCCGCTATTTATTGTGCGCGACGTATGAATTTTTTGGTCGCGCTAAACATCATAAGGTGACGAATATATCTTCGTCGCGCAAATATTTGTCCCGCAAACGTTTTCATTTATAACTTTTGAATATTTTGTCCCATTTCTAGATCTCTGAATATTTGTTATTTGCGATTTTTGGGGTATACAATCTCACAGTATATACAAACACGTTTAACGGTTGGATCGTTGAAATTAGTTTTGTAGAGTTGAATGAACACTTTTTAGTTTCAAAACATATGGAGGTTGATAACCCTACAAAAAGATTCGTACAGAAATTTATAACCCTGAAATTTATTCGTATGGAGGTTGATAACCATACAAAAAGATTCTCCTCTACCATTCCCATAATTAAAAGGGTATGAATGATGATCTTCACTAAAATCAATGAAAAACATATGATTTAGATTGCAAAATTAAAATTAAGCCTTAGGATTAAGGGTTTTGTATATCGTACCTTGCGCGACGGATAGGTGTTTTGTGGCGCAAAGATGTCATTTGTGACGAGTTTAGTCGTCGCGCAAGAATTAGGCACTAGAATATTTGTTCGCGGTTTTTTCCCCTTATTTAACGCGACGGTCGTTTTTTCTGTCACGCGAAGTTGTTTTGCGCGACGAAATTTATTCGTCACTCTAGTTTGCGCTACGCATATGATTGTGCGTCGCGCGATGATCTTTTATGCGACGAAATTTCTTTGTCGCTCTAGTTTGCGCTACGCATATGATTGTCCGTCGCGCGATGATCTTTTATGCGACGATTTGTCCTTCGTCGCGCAAACTATCGTCGCGCAAATAGAAAAACGTAGTAGTGCTTGGAGATGCTCTTAGTGGAAAGGAGATAAACTTTTGGTATCAGGGTACACGCACACTCTTTATTTCACTCCTCATTTGATTGGTTAAATGAGGAGTGAAATAGAAAAAATGATACATGTACTCATAAACTATGATCGAGACAAAATTACGAAAAATGACAAGATAATCACCCCTAAAAAATTATCCGACGAACTTTTTAGTGCCCCTATTTTCTAATTCATGGTAGACCATAGAGCCCCAATGGATCTCTCAAATTCCCATATTCCATCTCTCAGACCAAAAAAAAAAAAAAAAGTACAACCCCTTTGGAGACTCCATTGTGGGGTGGTAGAATTCTATAATAGCGAGAACCTAGCTTAATTAGGATATTTATTTCCTAGTCTATTAAGACTATTTCTTTCCTTTTTGTACAGATATTGTGTAATTATGATTTTATCTTATTTTCTTGTATAACCCTACTAGGGTTACAACCTTGTATTATAAATACCTCTTTTTGGAGAATGAAATATATTTGAAAATATTCTACCCATATTGTTTGACTTAGCATTAGAGCCGACTTTTTGGTGACTTGTGTGTTGTGCCCACTCGTGTTCTAGACCCTTTTTTTTTTCTTTTTTCTTTTTTTTCCCCTACATGTGCCGTGTGTGCCCTCATGGGTTTGTGTGTTGTGTTGTAGTGTTCGTGCCTCTACTGTGTTCGTGTCATTCATGTGTTCGTGCATCTGCCGTATTTGTGTCTCTGTTGTGTTCCACTGTGTACTTTGCCGTGTTCGTGCCTCCACTGCATTCATGCCTGTCTTCTTGCATTTGTCGTATTTGTGCCTCTACTGTGTTTCGCTGTGTATTATGTCGTGATCTGTTGAGTTTCTGTTGCAATCATGGGTGATAACTCCATTGTTGCTGCTGTTGCTGTTGCTTCTACAAATTTGTATGTTTTTGACTATATTCCAGGTACTAACTCCAATACTTGGATAATTGACATTGGTGCTTTTGATCATATGACTTATGATACTAAATTTTTTGATGAGTTTTCTAGTAACACCCATGACCCATACATAACTAGTGTTAATGGCTTGCCCTCTCCAATTATTGGCGAGGGCACAATCTCTCTCACTCCGACTTTGTCCATGTCTCGTGCATTACTAGTTCCCAATATCCATTGTAACTTGTTATCTGTTGGTCGATTACTTTATACACTTAATGCTTCTGTTACTTTCTATCATACACATTGCTCTTTTCAGGATCTTAAGACTCACGAGACGATTGGGCATGGTAAATGGATATGAGGGTTATATTATTTGACGTTGCCTTCTACACGAGTTCGTGATCGTGTCGTTAATATTGTTCAAAGTTGCAGTGTCAAAGACAAACAACAAATTTGGTTATGGCATCATCGCTTGGGACACCCATCGTTTGGCTACCTTAAGCGTCTGTTTCCATCTTTATAACGCTCTTGTGATGAGTTCAGTTTTAAGTGTGAGACATGTATTTTGGCCAAGAGCTATTGCGCTGTGTTTCTTTTGAGTGACAGTAAAGTTGCAAAGCCTTTTAATTTAGTGCATTTTGATGTGTAGGGTCCGGCTCGCTTTACTTCAAATGGATTTCGTTGGTTCGTCACATTTATTGATGATTGTACCCTACTCACTTGGGTTTTCTTGCTGAAAAATAAACATGATGTTGCTTACATCCTTTCAGAGTTTTGTACCATAGTGTCTACTCAGTTTCAAGCTCAGGTCAAAGTATTCCGGACTGATAATGGAGGAGAATATGTGAATAATACTTTGGCTTATTTTTTCCGTGCTCAAGGTATTATTTACCAAACGACAACCCATTTTACCCCTCAACAAAATGGTGTGTTTGAAAGGAAGAACCGACAATTGCTTGAAATTGCCCGCTCACTCATATTGGATATATTTGTTCTCCATCATCTTTGGGGGCATATTGTTCTGTCTGCTGCCTATTTGATTCCCCATTATCTTCGGGGGCATGTTGTTCTGTCTGCTGCCTATTTGATTAATCCTACTCCTAGCCGGGTTCTTGATTTCAAGACTCCGCATGATGTGTTTGGTGAACATGTTTCCCCTGTCTCCGTCTCCAAGTTGCCCCCTGAAGTTTTTGCGTGTGTTGCCTATGTTCATGTCTACTCTCATTAACGGAGTAAACTTGATCCTTGTGCTCTGCGTTATGTATTTATTGGCTACTCTTCTACTCAGAATAGTTATAAGTGCTATCATCCACCTACCCAGAAGGTGCATGTTACTTTAGACATGACTTTCCATGAAGAAGTGCCTTATTATGTTTCTTACTCCTCTCCAATTTAGGAGGAGATGGGGAGTGAATTTAAGAGTCTTGGATTGTAGAATCTTGGACTTGAATTGGATAATGATGTGTTTGAAGATACTGCTCTCGGGAAGGAAATGACTGGTCGTACTGAAGCAAGCGATCGGTTGCCCATATCTGAAGATGAAACATGTGATCTCTGTGAAGAAACGACCAGTCGCCCTTTGGAACTCGACCGGTCGCCCATATATGGAGATGAAGCAAATGCTCTCGGTGTTGAAACGATCGGTCGCACTGAAGCAGGTAACCGGTCGCCTGTATATGAAAATAGTGACAGTGATTCTTGTATGGATGAGCTCGATGCAATACCCCCCCTCTGCCCTGCCAGTGCCCAAATCTACTCGTGATAGTGAATCAAGTGAGGTAATTTTTGATGATCTATCTGTGTCAAGTTATCAGTTACCCCCATGAACCACTCGTGGGAAACCTAAAGTACAATATTCTTCTGATATACATGCTAAGTCTAAATATCTCATTAGCCATTATGTGTCAACTCATCGTTTGTCTAAGTCATATGCATCATATTTGTGTCAATTATCTAATGTATGTGTGCCAACTAAGCTGCATGATGCTTTTTCTGACCCCAAATGGGTGGATGCTATGAATGTTGAAATAGAAGTTTTGAACAAGAATGAAATTTGGGATTTAGTCCCTTTACCAATAGGGAAGAAAGCTGTTGGGTGCATATGGGTGTTTACTTTGAAGTATAAAGCTGACGCTTCCATTGACCATTACAAGGTTAGATTGGTAGCAAATGGTTATACTCAGACCTATGGAGTGAATTATTTGGAGACTTTTGCTCCAGTAAAGCTTAATATTGTGCGTATGCTTTTGTACCTGGCTGCAAATCGTGACTGGCCCTTGTTACAGTTTGATGTTACATGGTGACCTCAAGGAAGAAATATACATGGATCTTTCTCTTGGTATTCATGTGACCTCTAAGGAGAGTGTTGTGTGTAAGCTATGAAAATTCTTATATGGATTAAAGCAGTCTCCAAGAGCATGGTTTGTGAGGTTTGCAACATCTATGAAGAAATTAGGGTATGTGCAGAGTAACTTAGATCATACTTGGTGTCATAAATGTAAATTAATAGCTTTAATTATTTATGTTGATAATATGATTGTAACTGGAGATGATTAGGCAGAAATGCAAAATCTTCAGAAGTATCTGGCTTCTGAGTTTGAGATGAAATCATTGGGTGATTTGAAGTACTTTCTTGGAATTGAAGTTGCCAGATCTAAACATGGTATCTTTCTGTCCCAAAGAAAGTATGTTTTGGATTTACTTGCAAAAACTAGAATGTTGGATTGTAAACCAATTGATACCCCTAGTAAACAGAATCATAAGTTGGAGTTGTATCCTGATCAAGAATGTAAATTAATAGCTTTAATTATTTATGTTGATAATATGATTGTAACTGGAGATGATTAGGCAGAAATGCAAAATCTTCAGAAGTATCTGGCTTCTGAGTTTGAGATGAAATCATTGGGTGATTTGAAGTACTTTCTTGGAATTGAAGTTGCCAGATCTAAACATGGTATCTTTCTGTCCTAAAGAAAGTATGTTTTGGATTTACTTGCAAAAACTAGAATGTTGGATTGTAAACCAATTGATACCCCTAGTGAACAGAATCATAAGTTGGGGTTATATCATGATCAAGTTCCTATTGATAAAGAGCGTTATCAACGACTTGTAGAGAAATTGAATTATTTAGCTCATACACGTCCTGATATTGCATATGTCGTGAGTGTAGTGAGTCAATTTATGCATTCTCCTAGTAAAGATCATAAGGGTGTTGTGATGCGTGTTTTGAGGTATCTGAAAGTAACTCCTGGCAAAGGGTTAATGTTTTCCAAGTATGGTCATACAGATGTGGAAGGGTAAACGGATACTGATTGGGCTGGTTCAGTCATTAATAGATGTTCTACGTCTAGGTATTTCACATTTGTTGGTGGTAATCTTGTTACTTGGAGGAGTAAAAAGCAAAAAGTGGTGTCTCGGTCTAGTGCCAAAGCCGAGTATCGTGGGATGGCTCAAGGTGTGTGCGAGTTACTATGGTTGAAGAGATTGTTAAGAGATCTTGTGTTTGCGCCCCCAAAAACCCATGGATTTGTATTGTGATAACAAAGCTGCAATTGCGATTGCTCATAACCCTGTGCAACATGATCGTACAAAGCACATGGAGGTTGATCGACATTTTATTAAAGAGAAGATGGATGCTGAGATTGTTTCTTTTCCGTTTATATCATCCAAGTATCAACTGACAGATGTACTTACGAAAGCTGTGTCTACTACTGTCTTTCTCAACTCGCTTGACAAGTTGGGTATGCGTGACATCTTTGCTCCAACTTGAGAGAGAGTGTTAGCGAGATCCTAGCTTAATTAGGAGATTTATTTTCTAGTCTATTATGACTCTATTTCTTTCCTTTTTGTACAAATATTGTTTAATTAGGATTTTATCTTATTTCCTTATATAACCTTGTATTATAAATATCTCCTTTTAGATAATGAAATATATCTGAAAATATTCTACCCATATTATTTGACTGTAATGAGGACCTTATGTGAGACCCTTACATGAGTTTTGGGTAATCTCACATTTTCTCCTTGACCTCAAATTTGAAGCTTGATAAAGAATCCGAGAATCCAAATTTTTAGAAGCATGAGTAAAGCCTATACTAACTCACTTATTTTTTATTTTTTCCTCCAAACCCACAAACTCATTTTTCAAAATCTTGGGCTTTGTTCTGAGTATTGCCACAAAGGAAGAATTGCAGTAAAGTGAATTTCTGATTCTTTCATAAACGTAAGGTTAAGCCCAGCCTAGTGTCCATTGCCAATCATTTGCAGGGAGCTTGAGTTTTGCCCAATTCAATGCTTGTTTCATGGATAGATTTTATGGTGAGGAAAACAAAAGCCCAGTT